CGCCGCCGCCGCTGCCGCCGCGCACCCCCGGCCCCCGAGCCCGGCGCTGCAGGATGCCGGGGGGCAAGAGAGGGCTGGTGGCACCGCAGAACACCTTCCTGGAGAACATCGTCCGGCGCTCCAGCGGTGAGAGATCCCCCTCGGTCCCTTCATCCATCCGTCCATCCGTTCATCCGTCCATCCCTCCGTGCCTCCGGCTTCTCGCCCCGGCGTTGCCACGCTGGTGGGTCCGTGCCAGAGCGGTGCCTTCAAGGAACGGGATCCGCTCATCCCCTCCGGAGCATCCCGTCGCGGTCCTTCCTCTGCCTCCCGGCAGTTCTTACATCGCTATCGCTTCTACCAATTCGAACCTTCTCCCCTTTTTTAAAAAATCACACGCCTCTGACAATAGTCATCCTCTCCTCTCATCGGGTCTTTTTTTTTCTCCCCCTCTTCTTGTTCTTTAGTTTTGTAATAATTAGCACTTGCAACCATTTCCATTCAGGGGGTTCAAAGTTTTTTGCGATTCTGTGGCGCTTTAAAGTCTGTGGCAAAGGTACCGGGAAAGCGGTGAGGGAGTGACCGTGGTTTGGATGGCAATCCTGTGGCTGAGCGAATGGGTAAAGAACTGTGTGCAGTTGGTCATTTACGGCTCCTCTGTTAGGTGAATATTTACAGGGCTCGTTTAGGACTGTGTGGCATCCAATTATTCCTTGCTGCTGGAGTTAATTTCACCCTTCCATCCAGTGCAAAGCACTGATCCAGAGCAGTGTACACAGCTCCAATTAAAGTTACGAGGTGTTTGCAGCTCGCTGTCTCGTTGGGTGTGCTGATGTAGATGCTGCTTTAAACAAGTTCTGTGCTGGTTTACATCCATTTTTTTAATGCAGTTTTTGCAGTGGCACATAACTACTGAGACATAGGAGTGATTGTACAAATGTAGGAGAGCTCGGCTTGGCATTTGCTGCAAGARAACTCCTTGGTCAGCCCAAGTTTARGGCGACCCTGGCAMGGGGAATCACTCACCTGCSGATGGAAGTGGGAAAGGTGGGCAGAGCAGAGCACTCAGAAGAGTCACCACATTTAGTATTAATCAAAACACCAATGGTTGTGAAATCAGGCTGAAAAATGTTCATTTCCACCTTTCCCTGTTGCACAGTTCTGGATGTACCTCACCTTCGTACCAGTGTGGTCTGGTGTGCTGGCTTGGAGTTGATTTTGACAGCAGGTAGTGAATTAGGGATTCATGGATTTCCTCATGAGCAGGAGTGGGATGAGGAGTTGGAATTTGGTTTAAAATGTTRCATGTTAAAATGGCAGCTTTGTGTTGAGCCATGAGCCGTTTTTGGGGGTTTCCTCTCTCTCGTGTTGCCTCTGTCAGTTCTGTGGTTGGGAGCTCGAGCCCTGGAGCTGCACGATCCCCAAGAGCTGATTACTTATTTCCCAGAATATTAAACGCAAGCTTAATTAATAAGCGTTTATATAGCACTTTTCCCTCTGACAATTTCCAAGTGTTGGGTGGAATTTAATTACTCTTCACAGCTCCTTGTGGAAGAGGGCATGCAGTGGCTTTCTGAACCTGTTCTTCCAGCTGGGGGCTTGGGGCACCACAGTTGATTTCCCCAGTTCTTGCAGCATGTCAGTGGCAGGGCTGGAGCATGATTTGGGAATGCCATGGTTTTGTGTCGTGCTCTAATTAAATCACACGTCCTCCCTGGTGAAAACTCAGTAAAGCTCTGAGATATCAAAAATTGGAAAAACTCAGAAAGCTTTTGAACATTTATACTTTAAAAGCATGTATCCCCTCCGGTTTTTAACCTGGTCTAATTTAGGAGCATAAATCATGCTGATCTGGTCATTCATTCTACTTTTTCTCTGCCACTGATGATGTCTGARCATGATGCTAGCTAGAGAGGCAAATCTTCCCTGTTGGACACAAAGAGGAAAGTAGATTGGGAATTTGTATTTAACTCGTGTAAGTTGTCAGTRTTGTGAGCTGAAACATGATTTAGTTCTTATTTTTGTCATCCAGGACATAACCTTACTTATCCTTTATAGAAATAGTAATTTTCCTTGGATTCAGCATGGTTTAATCCAAACTTAATAGTATACAGTAGAGCAAATCTGGTTCAAGTATCTCCTGCCAGTGCTCAGTAGAAAACAAGGATTTGGTCTGCTGCCTGTCTGCTGRGTTTGTTTTTATACCTGGATTCACCAAGTTCCAAGGGATTTTTCACTGACAATTTGAGAAATGGGATGAAGGAAAGACTGATGAGTATTTTTTAAAATACATCTTCAGCATCCCCCCCCCAAAAAAAAACCCTTTCTGTCAACATTCCTGGTTCAGGAACATTCTCCTTTAAGATTTGTCATGTTTATGCAGTCCCATTGCACTTCTTGATCATAAATCTTTCCTTAACAACCAAGAGAAGGTTTGTAGATAGAGGTAATAACTTCTATTAGGCTATAGGTACTGCTGGAAAAAATCAGGCAGGCATTTCAGCAGATAGGTTCTTCTTCAGGTGAAATGGAAGCAATGGCTTCAAAATGAAGTGTAGATGGAGACAAATTACTCAGAGTTACCAGAGATGGATCCTAATAACAAAATTTATAGACAAAACTGTAATAATTTAAAAATGTGGAAGGTCAGAACTGGCAACGGGCATAGTGGGAACACGGTGTGCAGTCTTGGTGTGGTGTCTAGCCTGGTGTTAAAAGCAACCATATATTGCATTTTCATCATTATTTSGGCACTTTATCTTCAGGACTGTTGTGAACTCTTCCTTTTTACCCCAGCTTTGGCTGCTCACCAGGTTAAAATTGTGGGAGAAGTGCTTGCAGAGTGCAGCCATGAGCAAATCAAGGAGCTGAGCAGAAAGGAGTGGGGTGGCCATGAATGGGGTGGCTCTTTGCCCTCTGTGTTGGACAGTGGCCCTGCTGGATGTTCCTCTCCCAGYCATGGTGTTTGGGAAGGATGGAGCAGCTGTGGAAGAGATGGAGAGCTCACCCAGCATCTCTGCCCAGGGAACGTCTCTTTTGGGGACGCTTTTTACCCTTGGAGCTTGTGCAGGGTTTTAGGTCAGCGTTCAGCATTCGGGCAGCATCACAAGGTGCAGRTGCTTCCCAAAGCGTTGGGTGGTGATGGCAGCCCCTGATTTGCACATTCTTTGCCCACACCACGGCTGAGCTCCACTTCAGCAGAGCCAAATCCCACAGGGAGCAGCGGGATCTGTCCTTGGAGTGCTGTGTTGGTGAAAGGGACAACCCTGAGGACACACAGCCTTCTGTCTTCAGGGTGATCTCCGTGCCCTCTCTGCAATCTTCTTTTTTTCCCCTCTTYTAAAGCACAGTGAAAATACATCGAGGCTTATCTGAGGCTCACAAAGATTGATAGGATCTCACTGCAGCCTTGGCTGTGCCCTAGATCTTAAGAGCACCAGGTGCTTTGCTGAGCTGAAAGAAGAGGTGTTTTGTGCAAGCACTGGGCTAAATCACATTAAGGGGACTGCCTTTTACTGCCATTAGCATTTGGGACTTTTAATAAGGACCATCCTAAGGGCAATGTTCTCTCCCAAGATGTTCTCAGCAGTCTGTGCCCGTTATTACTGATATAATTGTTTGCTTCATCAGTGCCTTCAGAGCTCCTGCTGGTGCTGACCTGTGCTCAGCACTGTGGAAGTGCAGAGGGTGCAGAATTGGGCAAATCTCTAGAAAAGGACTGTCCATRGACCTGTCCCATGGGCAGAGTCATCCAGTGAGTTGAGCCACTCATGTCTGCCTTGCCTTCTCATATTCCATCAGCAGAAAAATTAAGTTTATGCTAATGGCATAATTTGTTTTAATGGCAGAGCATGAATTTGTGGAAAGGGTAACTCAGGGATTTGGCAGCAATCTGCAATAAAGACTGCTARCAGTTTGGAAGAGGGGATGAATTTAGCGGAAAACTATACAAAACCTTATCTATATGATAAAAGTCATCATTATTGGATATTGTTTTTGTTGCAACAACTCTYAGAAGCCTCCTCACAAAAGTGGGTCTTTCACAACTGCATTTTGGCACTGGGTTGGAGTCATAGGTCTGTAAGGCTTACATGGGAATTTCAGCATGAGTTTTAATGAAGCTAGCATTTAATTCCTAGCCTTTTTTCAGCTTTATGCCATGTTCCTAAAAAGCAGCTCCTTCACGCAGACCTTTCAGCCCTGCTGGGTGGGAGAAAGGATCGGCTCTCTTCACAGGGGACTGTTGTCAAGGCAGGTTACCTAGAAATGGAYGGAGAGGAAACAAATGTCACATCTGTAGCAGTAAGACACCTTTTTTTTATTATTTTTTATTTTTTTTTTATTCCACTGGTATTACAGATAAAATAAGTGTCTCTTGTCTCTTCTGTTCTCCTAACTGGCTCGAGTAGGTTTCTGTCTTACAGGCAGAATGGGATGTGATACATGTGGGCTTCTCTCCCCTACATTAAAACAAGCTGCATTTTCATCTGGCACCAATTAAATCACCCATGCTGCGGAGAGAAAGTTCTGTGAAGCAAAGTACTTCCAGTTTGCACGATGTCTGTCACTTGGGATGCTCTGAGAAAAACACAGAGCTCAGCAGTTCCCTGAATCCCTGCAGGATGCTCTGTGGGGTCRAAGTTTCCCTGCCCCAGTTCAGCTCAGAAGTTGCTGGAGGGATGACCAAGGAGCTCATAGGGCTTTCTGTGGCATTCGAAGGCACAGGGCTCCTKCTGCAGCTTCTGTGACTGCAGGGCGCTTGCTGACACCTAAATCGATGCAAAGTGGATTTTTACACTGACAAGCATTACATATGTGACATATGTGAGCAGTTTTCAGTTGCAGACGCCCTATTTTCCTTGCTTTTCAAGTGGGCTCGCTGAGCACAGACKGATTAAGTGTATCCGACTGCTGCTGAAATTGGGGGAGGTCTGCATGGTCTAAAATGTTTATTTTTACTTTAAAAAAAAAGTGTTTGGGAGCTCTATGTCAGTTTATTCATTTAGAAACTCAAGAGAATGCCGTATCATTAGCTAAAGGAAAAGCTGGATTTCCTTGAGATATGATCAGCTGCTTTGTGGTCTTATTTGTAATTGTGGGTTTGATCTCTTTCTCTCATTTCTTTCATTTAATTTCCTTTCTTATAT